ACCTCTAGGTTCTGGTGTTCAATCAACACGGCACCAATTTCTTAAGTACTATATGATCAATATGACATATTAGTGTTTAGCTTCATCTTTTCTTTATTATTATAATGCACCACTCCGCATTTTCAATTATTTCTAAATGTTTGTTGTATCTAAAATTATTGTTAACTAGTTCAAATATTTGTTTTAATATTCCTTTACTAATCTTTTATTATATTTCTGCTGGACTTTCATTTCCTGCTCAGTTTCGATAATTATATAAGAAGTAGCTAAATTGATTTCTAATTCATCGTCGTTTTTTTATTCATGCTGTGTTTAAATGTTCTAAATAACCGTTTATTGGTTTGTGAGGTGATGTAGACTTCCATGTAGTGTTGCGTAATCGGCTAATTTTAGCCGACTAAAAACGGCTTAGCCGAGATTTTAGGTGGAAAAATCGGCTAAGCCTAAAAATCGGCTAAGCCTAAAAATGGGCTCAGCCTAAAAATTGGCTAAAATAAATTAGTCAAAATTCTGCATCGATGCTTAGCATTATTTATTATTTATTTATTTTAGTAAAATAATATTTTTTATTTATATTTAATGTAAATATTTTATTATTATCAACAAATAAACATGATATGATTTAATATTTTTTATTTATATTATTATATTTTGAAATGAAAATAAATTTATTTATTTGATGTTTTTTTAATAAAAAAAATAATATGCTGCTATATTGTAAAAATGTAATATTCTTTATAATATAATTTATTAGTGATTTTCACAATCTTCTTTGTAAATACATCTTTTATTGAGGAATTATATTGTAAATTTTATTAGATAAATAAACAATCTTTTAGGTGAAATCTTTTATCATTTTTTTAAAATTATCTATTTATTATTAAATGAGGTGGATTTTATGAAACTTTTTTGATGTTATTTTATATGATCTTTTTAAGGATAATATTTTAATGTGACAATTGTCATAATCGTTCTTTTATAAGTTTTTTTAATTTTTTTGAAGAAAGTATGTTAAAATAAGTATTAATAACATGTGTAAATACAAATTTAATGAAGATGTACTAATGAAAAGTGACAATTGTCATAATCGTTATTTTTAAAGTTTTTCGAATTTTTTTGACGAAAATATGTTAAAATAAGAATTAATAACATGTGTAAATATAAATTTAGTGAAGATGTACCAATGAAAAGTGACAATTGTCATAATGGTTAATTTTAAAGTTTTTTGAATTTTTTTGACGAAAATTTGTTAAAATAAGTATTAATAACATGTGTAAATATAAATTTAGTGAAGATGTACCAATGAAAAGTGACAATTGTCATAATCGCTATTTTTAAAGTTTTTTGAATTTTTTTGACGAAAATATGTTAAAATAAGTATTAATAACATGTGTAAATATAAATTTAGTGAAGATGTACCAATGAAAAGTGACAATTGTCATAATCGCTATTTTTAAAGTTTTTTGACGAAAATATGTTAAAATAAATATTAAAAACATGTTTAAATAAAAATTTATTAGTGAAGATGTACCATAGAAAATTGATATTTGTCATAATCGTTATTTATAAAGTTTTTTGAATTTTTTGACGAAAATATGTTAAAATAAGTATTAATAACATGTGTAAATACAAATTTAGTGAAGATGTACCAATGAAAAGTGACAATTGTCATAATCGTTATTTTTAAAGTTTTTCGAATTTTTTTGACGAAAATATGTTAAAATAAGAATTAATAACATGTGTAAATATAAATTTAGTGAAGATGTACCAATGAAAAGTGACAATTGTCATAATGGTTAATTTTAAAGTTTTTTGAATTTTTTTGACGAAAATTTGTTAAAATAAGTATTAATAACATGTGTAAATATAAATTTAGTGAAGATGTACCAATGAAAAGTGACAATTGTCATAATCGCTATTTTTAAAGTTTTTTGAATTTTTTTGACGAAAATATGTTAAAATAAGTATTAATAACATGTGTAAATATAAATTTAGTGAAGATGTACCAATGAAAAGTGACAATTGTCATAATCGCTATTTTTAAAGTTTTTTGAATTTTTTTGACGAAAATATGTTAAAATAAGTATTAATAACATGTGTAAATATAAATTTAGTGAAGACAATGAAAAGTGACAATTGTCATAATCGTCATCAAAAAAGTTTAATAAAATCCACCGCATTTAATAAAAAATAGATAATTTTAAAAAAATTATAAAAGATTTCACCTAAAAGATTGTTTATTTATCTAAGAAAATTTACAATATAATTCCTCAATAAAAGATGTATTTATAAAGAAGATTGTGAAAATCACTAATAAATTATATTAAAAAGAATATTACGATTTTACAATATAGCAGCATATTATTTTTTTTATTAAAATAACATCAAATAAATAAATTTATTTTCATTTCAAAATATAATAATATAAATAAAAAATATTAAATCATATCATGTTTATTTGTTGATAATAATAAAATATTTACATTAAATATAAATAAAATAAATTATTTTACTAAAATAAATAAATAATAATTAATACTAAGCATCGATGCAGAATTTTGACTAATTTAATTTTAGCAGATTTATATAGGCTTAGCTGATTTTTAGGCTTAACCTAATTAGGCTTAGCCGATTTTTAGTTTTAGCCGATTATTAGGCTTACCTAATTAGGCTTAGCCGATTTTTAGGCTTAGGCGTAGTTTTTAGCCGATTACGCAACACTACTTCCATGTACTAAAATCAATTCCATTTTGTTGTAAATATTTTTTTTTTGTTTTTATAGCAAGTCATTTTGAATATTTTTGTTGTCAATATTTTAATCAATATTATTTTTTTTTATCAATATTATAATTTTGTCATTATTATTATGTTGGGTTATAAAAACCTTGAAAAAAGAAGAAATTTCAGTTTGTTTTTTTTTAAAAAATTTATATTTTTCTTGTAACCAAATTCTAATAAAAAAAGTGGAAATAATCAAGAACCAAGTAGTTAAAAAAGAAAATAAAAATTAAGTACTTAAGAAATTAAAGTATAGTAAAAAGAAAATAAAGGAAAAACCCGAAAATATATTAAACGACGAGACTTATTAGAAGAAAGGACTGAAGATATCTTAAACGAAGACAAAGTATTAAACAATAACAAGGAGATGAGCACAAAGGAAAGTGAGGAAAAGGAAACTTCATATCACGGTTATTTGATAATTTAGACATTAAAGAATTATTAAATTTTAAAATATCTGGACTATACTAACAAAATTTATAGAATTTAAGAGCTAAAACAGTATCTGACCAGTATTGTACAAATTTGATTTCAACGATTAATATTAAATGGACGAAAGAGAATGTTAAACCTTTATTCACTAAATTTAACCTAAAAGAAGTAATGAAGTAAGTGGTCATGAACAGCGATATAGCTGGATAGCGAACCCCACGGGAGTAAGAGTCAAACCAATCAGGTTGGGGATAGATGTCACGTATTAACATATAATTATCTTAAAGATAATTAACCTTATATTTTCATTAAATATATCTGATTATAATTTGAATACCTACTGAAAATAGACAACCTCTATGCATAAATAGTTTTACTTTTAGTCATTATAAATCGATTCCAGATTTACAAAAAATTTCATTATAAATCGAGTCCAGATTTACAAAAAAATACATTTTTTGCTAAATATATTTATAAAGGGCGCAGTGCCAAATAATATTTCGAGATTGATGAAATGGTTTGGACACGCAACCAATAGATAAAATAGAGAAAAACCATCATTAAAAGGGTAAAAAATCCATCACAATATGAAGTAAACGTAGAAGGAACTACAGTGCTAAGACATATTGACCAATTGAGTGGAAAAAGATGGTAAACAAAGATGATCTATTAAACATAATGATATGAAAATTTGAGAAAAGGATTTAACAAAAATGACAATTTAGCACAATGAAGGTAAGAAATTCCCGTCATAAAAGCCAATTGAGTTACGAGTCCATAGAGAATAAGGACTAACTGCTATTTGGAGAGGGTTCTGTTAATTATGCCTATAGGTGATTATATACCCTATTTTGAACACGATTTCGAAATTACCATTTGTTAGGTAATTTACTAACCAAATATTGTCGCTCGTTAAAATAGTCATGAAATTACCTCTTTAAAGCTCATTGCTTTATAAAAAAAGTCTATCAAACCAAAATGTTGTTGCTTAAAAATATATCAAAAAAGTATGATCTAAATATTATATCGCTCAAATAAATATCTTCATAAGCTTTGCAACCCTTAAAAAGTGAGCGATTTTAAAACTTAATATTGAATTGCTAAAAAGCTCTAGTAAGGACGCAGCCTAAAGCAGTCAAGGTGAGTTAAATGTTATGAAATAATACGTAAATTCTTAATATAAATTTTGTAATAAATATATTTCTAGTTAAAAGCAAAAGTTTTTTCTAAAAGTTATGGTTAAATGTGTTATACTCAAATAATGTGATATTTTTTAGGTGTAAACAGTTTTGATTTAATAAACTTCGAAATATTACTTATTTATTTTAAAAAAAACCCCTTACGAAAAAAAAATTAGATTAAATAATCTAAAATGAAATATTACTTATTTAATAAAGAAAACTTATAAAAAAAATTAAAAGCGAAATAACCCTCTAAAATGAATCATACATTTTAAACGATAACATATAAATTAGAAGAGTTTCTTTGAAGGGGTTTCCGGGTCCAAAATTTTTTTTAGGATTCGATTTGTTCTGATTCCAAGGATGGTTCTAACGCTGATTATCATACATTAGTAATTTATAATGGTTTACTTACATTTTAAACCATTAAAGTAATTGAATGCTATTCCGCTTAATTAAGTTAATATTTTAAGATAACTCGATTCGAGGATAAAAGTCCAAAGCATGTCATAAAAATAAATACTTTTTATTATAATAAATATATTATATAATTTTAGTTGCAAATCATTTCATTTTATGATTTTAAAAATTTACATTATTATTTCCATTTCTAATAAATAAAATACATAAATGACTATAAAAATAATACTAAAAAAATGTGATTTCGCAACAAAGAAAATACAATTTCACAATATAAAAAAATATTATTTAACAACAGAAAAATGTGATAAAATATGATTTAAAATGTTCTGGTAGGAGTTTTATAAATAGATTTATCTGGTCACATCAAATAATCTGGGGCTTGTGTATAAGATCTATGATAAATATAAAAGTATATTAAAGCCGTAAAAAGAAATCACTAAAATTATTTGGTTTTAACAAGGACTTAAAAGATGGTTCTTTAATTCCCCTTTATTTATTTTATAGTATTAATAAATCAGCATTTGATATTTTATTATAAGATATATATGAACTTAGTATTTACGAATGAGATTATCCAAATATTTAGAGATATATTTATATATAATATGGTGGATTTTAAATTTATTGAAGGATTTAATCTCGCCCCCTCAGAATTATATTTTAAATTTTCTATAATATATAAAACAAAATGGCCTTTTATTATGGATATCAAATATATATAAATACCAAAACCGGAAATGGTTATAGAAGAAAAATTGGATTTTTTTTCAATTTTTGACATGAAAACTATTAAAAATGACTCAAAAAGTACTAAGAATTAAAATGAAGATAAAGAAAGTGTAGGGAAAAGCTATGTAAATATATGGCGAACTAGCAACCGCTAATAATAAAAGCTATGGAAATCGATCACAATTCGGCAGCCTCCTGTTGAATGTACGAAATTTTATAAGCAAACTAAGATTCACGTGTCCTATATTCAGGCAAAATTTTAGCCTCCTAGCTAGGACTGTGCTGATATCAAATATCATATCAGCATATTTTTATTATTATTTTATGATTTAGTATATAATCATATAATTTTTTTTTATTTTATAAATAATTTCATAATAAAATTAATGAAAGGATCTAAAATACAATCGTCTAGTTTAATAGATCGTACTTGTAAAGGTGTGAGGGTCATTAATAAAAAGATACCGAGTTAGAAAATTTAAGTTGAGGTTCCACAAGTATCATGTGTAAATGACAAGTGGGAAGCTATGAAAAAAGCTTGGTCGAAAGTAACTGAATATGCATGTGGATGGGAACGGATCATCTAGACACAGGGAGAGTGGTAGAATCCGCATATAGCTAAAAACTGAAAATGAGAAACGGAGGTGTTACAATAGATAGATAGTATTTATATTATTGTGTTTTGCTTTCCTTCCTTGTATATCTCTATTAGTATCCAGGAGTTCACAGACCTGGAGTGCGCGGAAGGAAAGAGAAATATGCCCGGATTGTAAAGCACAAGTTAGAAAAGACAGGATGTGGTGGGAAAAATATGGAAGAAAAAACTATGATCGAATTAACGGAATTAAGAATATCTGGAAGACTTACATGAAAAAACTATTGAATGAGAGAATAAACTGGATAATAAGGTTAACTGCTCAAGAGTACAAAGAAGAAATTAAGAAAGCGTTGAAGATGAAAAAGGGGAAAGCAGCGGGTTCTACAAGAGCGGTAACAAAAATGTTCAGAGGTTTTGAAGACTTGGGAATAGAATGGCTTATGAATTTATGCAATTGAAACTATTTCGGAGGATTGGCGAAAAAGTGTAATTATCCCGGTATACAAAGGGAAAGGTGATCCTTTCGATGTGGGTCTTACAGAGCAATTAAACTTTTGGAACATATATGAAGGTATTTGAGTGTTAGAGAAGCAGATAAGGGAGCAAATGAAAATCAATACGCTTGGGGAAAACTGCAATTTTTTGATGAGACAAATACAGGATAGGTATCCAACGAAGGGAAATAAACTATATTATGCGTTTGTTGACTTGGAGAAGGCTATGACAGAGTGCCAAGCGAGTGTACTAAATGGGCCTTGAGAAAATCAGTTGTATAAGAATTGTGGGTTAGAGCAGTGATGGCAATGTATGAGGGAGCATAAATGGCGCTACTACAAATGATTTGAATAAAGGTTGGACTACATCAAAGTCCGCCCTGAGTCCGTTATTATTTACCCTAGTAATAGATGTGGGCATGAGATATGAGAAGGGCTTACATGGGAGCTATTATATGCTGATAATCTTGTATTAATGGCAAACAGCAAGGAGGAAGATCTGAAGTATAAAATTATTGGATTGAAGATGGTTATGGACATATAAAATACAAAGGCAATGAATAGTAAGGTTTACAGTTGGAATCCGCCACCTGATTTTGTGGTGGATGTGGAAATGTGTTGCTAAAAATTAAGTCTAATGCACCTGCTGCCATAAATGGGTATATAAACGATGTAGTGAGGAGAAAGGTATTTGAAGATAGGTGATTGGCATTTATCTATAGAACGTGTGTGAAAGGGTACCATGATGAAAATAATGTCATGGGTGGATTGGATATTGTAATGGAACAGCTTTAGAAAAAGCGGGAAAGTTTGTTATTCAGTTGGCATATTAAACGCAGATGAAGGTGTTGATTCTGCTGTTGTTGCAAGGGTCAGTTATGTGAAAGAAGTTCCGTGAGATATCGTCTATTCTAACAAATAAAAATGCCTCTCTGAAGGTAAATGAAAAATTTAACACAAGCTAGTGGCACACGAGGCTAAGTTGGAAAGAAGGGAGATGAGAATGATTAGATTGATGTAGGGTATCTCTGAGAGATGGAAGGAAATATGAGAAAGGATTGAAATATATTGTAGGCGATTGTAGTGGTGATGAATAGAAATAGACTGATGTGGTTTGGACATGTTGAACGAAAAAAGGAAAATATGAGTAAGAGAGATGCATCTTAATTGAAGTAAGGGGGGAGTCCAGAGTTGGGCAGTAACACGAATATTTGTATTTAAATGTTAAATAAAAAACAAACACTTTTTGGTATTTAGTTTTATTTAAATAATTTAGAAAATATTTAGTATTAAATACTAAAAAATATGACGTATTTTATATTCATTACGATTTCACTATTTTCAGACGAATAAAATATAAATCCACATTTTAAAATATTAAATTTGTGACCTGAGTTACTGAAAAAATCTTTTAAGTCCTATTTTAAAATGGCTATTACCGAAAGCAAAATAAAAGTTTTTTTTTGAAGATGAGGAAGATATAGTAAAGAAAAAAAAGGAGTGTCTATATTAAGCTAATAGCCGTATTCTGTGACAACCCCAACATCCTCTAAACTTAATTTGACAATTTTGGGAAATTTTTTCAAGATATCATCAAAAATCAATAATAGTGAACGCTAAAACGCTAAATGTGGTATCTGCTTAACTAAAATAAAGGCCAAATCATAAATAGGGCGATTTCTTAATAATATGCTCTGCAAAACGGTAATAATATGAAATTATTATAAATTTATGTGATAAGCTAATGCTGCAATAAAAATATATTATTCATAATGTTTGTATTACTGCAGATATTCGATAATTTTAGAAAACGATTAATAATAAAAATATTATATAATTTAAAAAAATTGATAGTGGTGATTCGACTTGCAAAAAGTGTTCGTTAAACATTTATTTGTGCAAAAAGTTTTCGTCAAAATATTTGTATTTAAATATCTTTTTATAAATTTTTTTCGTAGGTATATAATATTTATAAATTAAAATACAATTATTTTAAAACGTATTTGTATTTATAATCAATTATTTTTTTAAAAGTATTTTTGTATTTATATTCGAACATATTTTTTTTTGAAAATTTTTCCCAACCCTTCTTAAGACCTTGAAGAGACGAAGTAAATGAAAGTGATAATAAATATCATGAGAAAAATGAATCTAACAAATAGTAATGTACAGGATAGTAAAAAATAGAGAAGTGTGATCAGACAGAAAACTATCCTCGTCCTTTTTTTAAAAATTGAGATCGCGCTTCTTCTTTTTTTAAAGGATCGCTTAACAACTCTGATAATATTATTTACTAGTTAAATAAAATAGTGATATCTAAAAAAATACAAAAATAAATTACAAATTAAAACACTTAATTTAATCCTTTCTTATTCTAGATTTACACCAAAATTAAAATTATCATAAAACTACTATAAAAATTGCTAAAAAGTACATTTTTTGAAAATAAATTTGTTTATAAAACGTTTTATGTAGGCATGAGGTGAATTTAGGGAGGGATGGCCAGGATCTACTATTGCAAAACCTGTTAGTATCTAATATTGATTTATCCTCGGCAAAACATCTTTTACACCAATGGAGTTCTTTTAAAAGCCGGGACCTTTCGACTGACATAAGTCTGAAAAAAATATTAGGATAAATTTATACATTCTTCAATAATTACGAATTATGAGTGAGAAAATTAGTGTGGTCAAGAGAATCAGGTCCAGACTGAATCCGCAGCTAAGTCTTGTTCAAAAACTGCTTCAAAAATTTTCAGATCTATCTAGTGAAGAATCTGAAAAATTTAATAATCAAGGGGTAACTTTAAAAAGTTTTAGAATTTTTAATGAAGTGATTCCCTTCTTTTCCCACTAGATTCACCTTTTATAGTGAAAACTATTCTTTTTATCCTCTTCTTCCTTTTCCTTCAATATTCCCCTTTCTTTCTTTCCTTCCATATTCCCCTTTCTTTATTTTTACATTTGTCCCTTCTTTTAATTTACTTCACATATTCGTTTTTTCTTTCGATGACGAACTTTTGATGCTCGATTTCTTGCTTGAGTAGTTCAGATTTTTTTTTAACACTTGATAAATTTTCGATCTAGATATTAAGTTAGAATTTATATCCAATCAATAACTCATAAGCAGTAAAAGTAGGGCAGTCGCCATGATGAGGGGCAGAGGGCAACAAACCTCCATCCCAATGTTTTTGATTCATTTTATGCAATTTATAACATTTAAAGTGAATTGTAATTTAAAAAGGCATAAATATTAAATAGTATGAATGATATGCGCAACATTACCTAATTTAAGTTTTATCGTTAAAAGGTTTCGGATTGGAATACCAGGAACTTATAAACTATTTGATGATAATAAAGAGTAATTTTCAGGAGATGACTGATATTTTTAATGATTTCAAACATAAACTGCCCTATTATCCTATTTTATCTCTGCAAATGTTATAAATAAGTAGTTTAATTCATTTTAATTATGGATATTTTAAATTGTAAATCGCTATTGGCTAATGTTGAAAAACGAATCGAAAAAAATATCTTAAAATATTTTATGAAAAAAATGGCATATTATAAGCAATTAAATAAATGTTAAGCAGCTACTTTGGAATGTAAACCTCTTCAGGTGAAGCATCATTTTTAACACTGAAGAGTGTTATCGAGTAGAAGAGAATCTAAGATAATGAAAAAGATTACTCAAGCCTAATGGTGGATGATTTTTATAAAATTTTAAAATATGACTCCATATAATATTATAAAATTATTAATCACATGTTCACATTAGTATATATTTCTATATTTTCTTCTTCTCCGCCTAATATCTATTTCCAGGTTTACCCAAGTTAGTCAGTTTTATCTCCGATGTTTCATTTCAATTTTTGACGGTCTTGAGCTTCACTATTTGTAAGATTCCTTTTCTCATATCCGCCGCTACTATCTTTATCCACGATCTTTAGGTCTTGATTCTCTTGCTTCCATCAAGGTGCATCTCTTTACTCAGTCATCTCTTGTCTTACGTTCCAGCCCAAACCATCTTAGTCTATTTTTTGAATTATCACTCCAACTTTTATTCCAATTCTTGCTCGCAATTCCTTGATAATTTTTCTTTCTTTGAGATACTTAACATCCATCTAATCCCTCATCTTTGTTCTTTCCAATTTGGCTTCGTGGGCCACTTTCATTGCCCATGTTTTGCCGCCATAAACTAAACAACTCCTCACACAGCAGCATACATAAACTTTCCCCTTTAATTTCAGAGAGAAGTTTTTAATCGTTAAATAGATAACATCTCTTTGAACTTCTTCCATGAGTGTCTGACCCTTGCAACAACAGCAGAATCTATTACACAATCATCTGTGTTTAGCATATCACCCAAATAGCAAAACTTTTCCACTTTTCCCAGGATTATCCGTGATAATATCCAAACCACCATTTTCTACGCTATCAGTAATAACCCCGTTTATTCATGTTCCACAAATAAAGGTCATTCTTGCTAACATCAAACTTCCCTTTTCCCGCTACATCTTTTATGCACCCATTTTTGACAATTGGTAAATTGGATTGAATTTCTAGCAAATTGATGATTTTAAATCAATAATTGTTCTTAAGAGTTTGTATATAAATAAGGTTAACCTAAAAAATCGTAATATACAAAAATATTTCTATTAAAAAAATGACTATGGCGTAGAGATCTGCAACAAGTGAGTTTTTAGTCCACAAGCCCGCCCATCCAATATTATTTAAAAAAATTAACCCGCCTGCCCAACCCACCCATAGTTTATTAAGAAAAAATACCCACAAGCCCATTATTTTTTTAAAAAAAATTTAACCTACGCCGCCTAAATAAAATTTAAATAAGCTTATTCTTTCAATTTTTTATGCATCTAATAAAAAAAATGATTTAGTTTCAGCGCTACATCCCTATAAAAAAGTATAATTTCTGAAATTGATATATTTAGCATAAAAAAATATTCAATTTAAATTACGGATAAGGAATTTATTTGATCTAATAAAATATTTATGTAATAAAATAAAATTAATATTTAATGATACTAAAAACCTTCCAATGCTAATTCCTCGTTCAGAAGAAGCACTGGTTGCTGGAATTGCCAATATTTTTCTAGAATAGCTTTGATAAATCTTTTTTTGGTCGTTCGTTTGAAATATATCCTCTACTCAAGTGAGATATTTAAATAAAAAGTAAAACATTAATAATAAATTTAAATTAATATAAATTGTAAACTTAAACTAAACTAAGTAGCCTAAAATCTTGCTAAATTATACAAAAACTCGTTACTTTAATATTTAAATATCTTGTTATATCATTAGGTAATGCTTTCCTCTACAACAGCCATATCTTCCCATCTGTTGTTTAATTTTCACGTGTATGCTATCTATTTCAAACATTGTATTTATAATTTAAGAATCTTTAATTCATCTCTTTGCTTTTGAGGAAAAGGGTAAAATCAGATTTTCATCCAAGTTGATGTTATATTCTTCCATGCAAATCAAATCCAACATGTTTTCGATATATTTTTTTTACCTAATTAATTTCTTTCGATAACTTTGGTATTAAAAATGTTGAAATTTCAGGGAGCTATTATTTAAATTTTTATTAATGTTGTCATAATTGGGAGACTTTGATTTGTAAAATTTGATTTTTGGTAAAGTCAGTATGTATTGCGTTTGATGAGTCATTTTTATTTTTATAATTTTATGTTTTAGTTAAATTGGTGAGTCATTGTTATTTTTATAATTTTATGTTTTAGTTTAATCGCGTTAACATTTTATTTTTAGATTTATAAAAGTTAATTATTGTAAAGTCATTATGATGATGGGATAATTTATAATTTCTAAAAATGTATTTTGATTTTATAATTTTAATTTGAGGCATGATTAGGTACTATTTGTGATGATTATTGCTTCCCTATAAAAGGGAAGCGAAAATTGTAAATTATGAATTTATTTTTTTTATCAATTCATTTTCTATTTTTTGTTTTTAATTAATTTTTTTAAAAATTATTATTACTATTTGTTTTTTGATTATAAAATTATTTTTCTTGTTTGGTGAATAAAATTTATTCTATTATTGGATCATCATTCTAATATTCTTACCGGTCACAACGTGATAGTTGGTGCCGTGACCAAACAGCAAAGGTAAAAACAATTGTTTTTTATAAATTATTTTTGTGGAGCGCTGTGGTTGATAAGACCGTCAATTTGTGAAAACAAGAACCGTCAAGAGCAAGTACCGTCAAGGACAAGTAAGGTGTGTAATAAGGGACCGTTTGAGGCAAGAGACCGTCAAGAACAAGTACCGTCAAAAGAGGTGACCGTCAAGTGAAAATTTTCAAGAAGACGTAGATAAACGGAAGTGCTGCCCAAATTTTTGCCTATATAAATCTATTAGAAGAAAATCAGAAAAAGTTTATTAGAAAGCAAGTTACACGGAAGTGCAACCGATTTTTTCAAAAGACGTCAATACACGGAAGTGCTGCCGATTTTTTCAAAAGACGTCAATACACGGAAGTGCTGCTGATTTTTTAAAAAGACGTCAATACACGGAAGTGCTGCCGATTTTTTTGCAAAAAACGTAGATATCCGGAAGAGTTAAAAGATTCGCGGAAAGTATTGATTTTTTTTTGAAATTGATAAATGTATATGTGTATTATTGGAGTTTTTACCTTATTGTCTGACGTTACAAGTAGTTAAGATATTTATGGTCAAATTAATTATTAATTTATTGTGAATATTTTATAAAATATAGATTTGCTAGATTGAGTTACTTGGGAAATAGTTTAGGAAAAATTTAAATACGTAAATATTTTAATGAAGAGTTTTAAAATTACGAAGTATGTGGAGTTGCAATATAATGTACTGGGAGCGGTGGTAGTGTTGATGATATGGTTGTGGAGAATGCGAAGAGAGAGGAGTATTAGGATTCGTGGGCAATCGTTATTGGTAGAAGGGCATAATGGAGAGGATGATAGATTGGGGAGAGTGACGTGGTTACCGGTTCAAGAAATAATGAAGAATTGGGTTAATAATGAAGAAATTGACCGGTTAAAGAACGAGAGGATAGATGACAGACATTTGGACGTATACCGTGGACGTCAGGACATGCCGAGGACGTTCAGCAGTGGGGAACAGAGAGGTCGGAATCGTAGATGTTATAAATGTGGGGAGATGAGTCTATTGCGGTGAATTGTAGAGATGTCAAATGTTTTGCGTGTGGGGAGATGGGACATATTTCGACATATTGTCCGGGCAGAGCAGAGAGAATACGTTGCGCGGGTTGTGGAAGATTTAGACATGTGTTAAAAGATTGCCGAGTGGGAAAGGTAGAAACAAGGGCGGGTTTTCCGCAGAGAGGAGAGACTTCGGGGGCCGTGAATATGAGGAGTATGACGGAGATAGCTGGAAAAGAAGGAAAGGATATTGAAGAGGAGATGACGTGTTTCAAGTGCCGAGAAAGGGTACATTGGGCCAGAGATTGTGATAGAGATTGACTATATGATGGGAAGGAGAGTAAAATGATGACCGTGGCGTTAGGAGGAGGCAAGAAAGAGTTGAGAGTTAAAATGTTGCAGCAGGAGGTTCAAAGGGAGTTAACGTATCTGCCGAGTCCGAGAGTATGGTTCGATATCAACGGGAAGATGGTATCTATGTTATTTGATACCGGAGCAGCTATTTCGGTGATAGGATATGAGGATTTTAGAAGACTTTGGCCGGGTAGTAAAATAATTAGAGACGTTATGCAAGTGAGGCAGTTTGATGGATCGGAGATGATGGGAAGAGTGCATATTAGGGATGTAGGGAGAGAAGGATGTAAAGCGTTGGACTTATGGATAATTAACCGAGACGTTGAGCCGGTGATGGGATAGGATTACAAGTGTGGGGCCGGAGTATGGATTTTGGGGAGTATTTGCGCGATGGGGAGTATTTATGGCGATCGAAGAAGATATTCGGGAAGACTTGATAGATATGGTCCGAGAGGATGAGGAGGAGAGAATGTCCGGAGGAAATTTGGAATGGATGGAGGGCCGAGATAATATTGAAGTAGACGAGGGAAGATCCGTGTTTGGGGGGAAGGCGAAGGAAATGGGAGGGAAGATATGTTGGGGAGAGGTCCGATTTATGTAGATGGAGAAATAGGAAATATCCAAGACAGTAGATATGGAGTATTGAGGCCGCTGGTTAGTGAGAGGAGTGAGAATTTTGTAGAACAGGGAGTTGTGGAAAATTTGTGGGAGTGTGGAGAGGGAATAAAGGATGTCCAAAAGGAGGTGGAGAAGTTAGTGGAGAGGTATGGAGAAATATTGGGGAAGAGTTGGGTTGTCTAAAGGGTTATGAAGTTAGACATACGGATGAAGGAGGGATGCGTACCAAAATTTTGTGCTGTTCGTAGAGTACCTTTTGAATGGAGGCAGGAGGTAGAGAAGGAGTTGGATCGTTGGGTAAAGGAGGGTATCGTGAGTCCGGTTGAATACAGCGAATGGGCGACGCCTTTGGTACCCGTAAAGAAGGTCAATGGGAGTTTGAAGTTGTGTGCGGATTTCCGGGTAACGTTGAATCCATGTGTGGTGGAGGTGAAGTATCCGTTACCCAGGATAGAGAAGATATTGGCCAGTTTAAAGGGGAGCAGATATTTTTCGAAAGTGGATTTTTCGAACGTGTATTTGCAATTACGGGTGAAAAAGGAGAGGCAGAGGTTATTGGCTATAACAACGCCGAAGGGCCTATTTGCTTTAGAAGGTTGCCGTTCGGGTTGAGCGTTTCAGCGCCCATATTTCAGCGGACTATGGCGGTAGTTTTTCAGGGATTGGAGGGAGTGTTTTATTATACCATGATGTTTTAATAACAGGGGTTACTCTAGAGCAGAACAATCGAAGGTTGGAGGTGGATGAGTATTTGTAGCGTGTTACTGGAGTGGTGGAGTCTTTTCAGCGTGTATGCAAAAGTGGGAGTCCGAAATTTTTTTTAGTAATGAAATAAATTAAAAGGATTGTAGGTTGTAGTTACTCTTAGAAGAAGACGATGGAGGAATAGTAATTATGGAAATATGTTCGAATAATCGATGGTCAAAGGTGTCCACTTACAACAATAATAGAAGAATTCCTAGGGGTGATCAAAGGGATTGGGGTCTCAAGGATTGGTTATAGGGGTGAGGTGTCATAATTGGGAGACTTTGATTTGTAAAATTTGATTTTGGTAGAGTCAGTATGTATTGCGTTTGATGAGTCATTTTTATTTTTATAATTTTATGTTTTAGTTAAATTGGTGAGTCATTGTTATTTTTATAATTTTATGTTTTAGTTTAATCGCGTTAACATTTTATTTTTAGATTATAAAAGTTAATTATTGTAAAGTCATTATGATGATGGGATAATTTCTAATTTCTAAAAATGTATTTTGATCTTATAATTTTAATTTGAGGCATGATTAGGTACTTTATAATTGTAAAAGAAGATATTTTTAGATTATTTATTTGTGATGATTATTGCTTCCCTATAAAAGGGAAGCGAAAATTGTAAATTATGAATTCATTTTTTTTATCAATTCATTTTTTTTGAATTCAATTTTTTGTTTTTAATTAATTTTTTTTAAAATTATTATTACTATTTGTTTTTGATTATAAAATTATTTTTCTTGTTTGGTGAATAAAATTTATTCTATTATTGGATCATCATTCTAATATTCTTAAAAACCGGTCACAACGTGATAGTTTACTTAAAGGATTTTAAATAACAAATAAAAGTTGAAATTTTTTTAACCCGCCCCCCATAGTTTAAATATTTTTCTCAACCATCCCACCCGTTCTTTTAAAATTTTTTAACCCGCTCGCCCACTTAGATAGGCGGGAGTGGACGGGCTGGCTAAAATTCGCCCAATGTAGACCTCTAGTCTTTAGTATAACCGTTATATTGAGTGGTTCTGTATATGGTAAGCATAAATTATTCATATATGAGCATAACATATCATTCAATGTTTACTCACCTTTAAATAGGAAAAATTGTTGAATGTATGGAGATCGAATTTAGATTTTAAGCCTGGATTTAAAAATAATATGTAAATAGTAATTATCAGCTTATTTATAATGCATTTTTAATATTCTGCCATACTATTGAGTAAAATTAGCAGAGTTGCTAAAAATGTGGTATCTGTATCTAAAAAGATTTTCGATTAAAGTATCTGTATCTAGATATTATTTAAGAAGTATCGGTATCTGTTTTTAGATACTTTTTGATATACTTTTATTTAACGCTTTTTTATATTATAAATAAAAATACTTGAATAAAAAATTTATTTATTTCATATGTGCATATAATTTAAATATATAAAAAAAAAATTAAGACTACTATAATAAAAAATTATATATATATAAAATATTAAAACTTATATATAAAAAAATGTATAATAAATATTCATTAAATATTATGTGCGAGTTTATTAATAACCCAGACAAATTTTGATATTACAATGCAACTCAAGGAATCTGCCATTTTTATTTTCAATGGAATTGGTTAATTTTATTTTATTATACTAATTTTAAAAATTTATTTTAGATTCATATTAAAAGTGATGAAGAGGAAGAAGTAATAATCAATGAAGCATCAACAAGTTCAGACATTGTTTTTCCATGGCCAATTTATAGAGTATATTTTAAAGTAATATCTCAAACAAATCTCTGATAGTAAAATGTTTGCCATATCTACCAAAAAATAAGAAAATTTCAGTTAGCATTACCTCAACTTGAAACATTTAAGAGTATAAATTGTAATTTTAAATTTTAAGAGAAAAAAATCAAACACTATTAATGAAAAAAACAATTAATACAAAGATTAGTTGATGAATTATCAAGGTCTTCAACTGATTGCAAACAAATAACCTGTGAAAAAAAAACAAATAATTTAATATCCGATTTTTTTCAGTAACCCACAGCAGCAGATTGATAATAATGATTTAAATTTTGATACTCAACAAATTTAAAATAATTTTTTAAAAAATGAATGTCTAGATTTTAGTATTTTTAAATAATATCCTGATATAAAATTGTTATTCATAAAATATAACACCACAATCCCTTCAAGGGCCCTGGTAGAAAGACTTAGTGTAGCTAAAAATGTCTTTACAGATAAACGAGGATGCCTTAATGACAAAAATTTTGAAAATATTTTATTACTGGAAATAATAATTATTTATAATCATTTAATCATATATTTTCATATATTATATGATTATATTAAAATCTAAAAATCATTATTTTAGTTTTATTTTGATAAATGTGATATAGAGTCAATAATTTTTTTAGCGCATTTCATGCATTTTCACAATAGAATCTTAATTTAGGTTTATGCAAAGCTTATATAAGAGTAGAATAAAAATTGTATCTGTATCTAGATTCATTACAAAGGTATCTCTTAACTCTGAAAATTAGACGGGCTTTAAGTGTTTTAAATAGAGAGAAACCATCATATTTAAAAAAAACCTTTTCGCGTAATTCCATAATTTGTAAATTTAGCCCCCTGATTTCGGTGTTTTTGTCCTGAATGATCGCATTTAAATTGGCAAAATCTTCTTTTACACATCGTTCCTTTTATTAATAATTAAATTTAATATAAATATTATAGTGATCTATCTGGGATATTGATACTTTAGTGTTGGAGAGAACTATCTCATTCTTTAAAATGATATAATTGGTTTAGAGTTGCAATTTACATGCGATGGAAAAGAAATATATATTGATGCCAGGGACTTTTATTTTTTTGATGAGATTTGATGTAATATATTATGTAAGCTTGCGATTAATTTATAAACATAAAGATATAGATAGCATCCTATCAAATTCTGGTGGTATCTCATTTATTAAAAATGTCAGCTAATTCATTTCAACACTAAAGCGGCGATAATAATTAAAGAAAAAATTATCCGAGAGTTTTAAAAAATCGAATAAAGTGATTTCTCAAGACCACAAGATCAATTAAAATATCATTATATACCCCCCCCCCCCAAATTCTTTTATTCCTTCCAATAAAAAAAATAACATTTTTCTCCAAAGTGTTTATATGGCGTTTCAGGGAATCGCGTTCCAGTATCAATAATTGGTTATTCCGCTTCTGAATTTGCCAATCCAGCTTCAGAGTATCAATTTTAACAATCTTTTCTGTACGTGATAAAATAAATGATTACTATAAATAAAGTATAAACATCTATTTGATAATAGTAAGATAAAACTTTGACACCCACGTTGGCCACCCTTAAAATTTAAAATTAAATAAAAATAATTTTGTTGATACTATATTCAAATTTATATATATATTCATTAAATATAATATATGTTGAAACAAAAAAAAGTAAATATATATTTAAAAAAAACTAAAATAAAATACTTTTATAAAAGATGAAAAATATTCATGAAGCCGTGAATTGATAAGAAATTTATATGCCAAATTTCCAAACCAAAGTTTTGGAGAATATATAAATATCTTTAGGATCGCCGGTGAGATGTGTAACTATTTTTCCTATCTCCTTCAGGAAGGAAAGTGCTCGTGACAGAAGTTTACAAAGGTTGATGTGGCAATAAGAACGAATTTGATTTGTTTACCTTTGAATTTTTTTTATTTAGGCCATCGAACGAGTTTTCATGGCTGTTAGATTTAGCGAATAAACAAGTGTAATCCCAAGTGAGAGGGATGCCCATTTCCCATTAAATATTCGCGGCTCCAAGTAGCCTATCATTCACCGCTTATAATAGTATGTTCATTAGATTTTTAAATATATATTTACCTTTTTTGTTTAACATATATTTAATGCATCATATTGTTATGTTCATATAAATTTAAATAATATTACCAATAAAACTAAACTATCAGTTCAGAAAATAATATATGATAAAATAGAATTAATTTTTATAATTATTAAGATATGTGAAATAACTTTAAATAAATATTAATAGACATATGAAAATATCATTTTAGAATCCGAAATGGTCCAACTATGTATCTTGATATTAGGGCTTCGAATCGTGAAGTAGCGGTTCTGTTCGTTTCGGTTTTTAGTTTAAAATTTTATAAAGGTTTTGTTCCTTTTCAACTTTTTTTGAAGAAATTCATATCGGTTCAGTTCGGTTTAGAACTTATAGCGGTTCTTTTCGTTTCGTTCCGGTTCTTATAAATTCGATTAAAAAAAAATTATAAACCATATCTTAGAGAAAAATCTTTATAATTTATATAATTCCTTATTCAATTTAACCATGAAAATTATTTCTTATCTAATTAACTAGAAATTTGTATCTATTTAATTGATTATAGAAAGTAAAGACAATAAACTTGGTATTAATTGATATGAAGATAATGAAAATTTAATTGTAAAAAATTAATTTAAAAAGAAATCTCGAATTAAAATTGCCGGCAAGAAAAATTAAAATTTTTAAAATCCATTTTAAACCGGTTCAAAATAATCATAACATTTCAGTTTGCTCTTTTAATATTTTCTTTATAACGGTTCGGTTACGGTTCAGAAAATTATAATGTTTCGTTCTGGTTTCGGGGTTCGGTTTGAAGCCCTTTGATATATGTCGCATTTTGCTTTATAACTGCTATTCTTTCGGGTAACTAGTTGATTATATCACAGCACTAATTTATGTCAATATAAATTCCTTTTCATTATGTTTTTCTTATAAAATTGAGGTTAGGAGATTATCCTGAAAATGCTTTCATTTCATATTGTTATCCTTTAGCCATCCCCTTGTTGATTTTGCTTATAGCAAGTTGTTTTATCCTCTGAAACGAGATTAGATAAAAGGCGTTTGCGTATTCCGTAAATATCTCGATAATTAAAATATTTTATTGTTCTCTTAACATAATCTAGCAGTCCTAGTTAATTCGCACTTATTTTTTAATGTAATAGTATTTTTAACATAGTAAAAATAATATTTTATTTGAGATTATTTTAAGAAAATTTATCTTTGCTTCCTTTAACATTGTAATAATTTTACTTTCTTTTTACCTTAAAGAAATACTGAATCAACATATTTTAAACTTTACACCAAAATTATTTTGTATAATAAAATAATTTCAAGTCAACCCGGAACGGTATAAAATATAAACCTGCCTAGAAAGAAATATAAACATCTTTAAATTAATTTACTTTATATCAGTGCTGTAAAAACACGTTAAAAATAACGACATTTCCTTTTTAGGGAAAAGTAGCCGTAGTATTCACTATTAGTGAAAATCAAGTAACGACGTTTTTTGGGTAACGAGTAGCGTATGATATAAGCCCAAATTAAGGAAATTACGTTTTATACAGCAGATTTATTAATATTAATCTGTCTATAGGACAAGACATGCCAGATTGGTTATTATTAAAAATGACTAAATTTTATTAAGAACCATTCGTGGGTTGATTTATTAACAAAATTAAATTAAATTATTTTATTAAATATTTTTATTTCATCACTGTACACTATCCACCGACTTAATCCAAATAGTTGTTTTATTAAATATTGTTTTATTTTTTTATAGATATGGTATATAATTAAAAAATTATCTTGTAATTTTTTAATTTTGAATTTAAAAAAATATATATTTTAACTTAGCTTTCAAATCAAAAGATTCTAATATTGATCATATAAATTAATTTAAATTATATATATATATATAATCAATAAAAAATTATAATAATTACTAAATTTAAAAAACAAATCTTACGAAGAATTAATTAAATTTTTAGATAGTAAAAATATTTTTTTTACATATTTAAACGAATTAATACAATTAAATATAAAAATCATTCGTCCCCGTTAAACATGTCTTCAGCCCAGAAAAAATCAGTGTTAAGTACTAAACGTTCCTGTTTATCGGATAAAAATTTTGAAAAGCTTGTTGTCAAAAATGGATATTGCAATATAATAATTATAAAACTTTTTCAAGTAAATTTTAAATTTTATTGATAACTATTTTTTTCCAATCATATTAATGTTTTTTTATAGCCTTATACATAATCTCTGGAAAAAATAAATGGTAAAATCTTTTATAATATTATATTTTGAAAGTAAAGAACGACTTTACTTTTTTATTTTTTTGGAAAGTAATTAGTAAGGCAATTAAATTTTATTTTCTGGATAGTAAAATAAATAATTAACGGTGTTACATTTTAAAGTGAATATTTACAGCACTGTTAACTATACATATAATATACTCCCAAAAAAATTGTAACTACCTAATATAGCATTAGAATGGGTTTCTCGAATCTGGCTCAAATCTGAATCGAAACTTCGTTTGAATTGTTCGATCTGGGCTAGTTTTAACAGCTCTAATTCTCCTAACTGATTGTTAGTAAAAAAAATTTAAAATAATTATACAATACACTCGTATCTAAATAATTCTATTATAGTCAAATATTTTTTCCCCTAATTAAAAAAATTAATTTATACGTTAAACTATTGATTTTATTATATACATAGTTTTTTAGTATTTTTAAAATAATTATACAATACACTCGTATATACATAGTTTTTTAGTATAAAAATATATTTATTAAATGCAAGGATAAGTCATTAATTTATGTCACGACGCTGCTCGAATCATAATCATTTGCCATTTTTTCTAATATATGTTAGTGCTATTTTCAGAGAATTATAACAAGTAGATTTAAGAATACTTTTGAAGTTTCCAAATGGTAATTCTTATTTATGATTATAGCTCTCTAACTAAATTTTACTCGACGTCTTTACACTTCGAAACTTTATTTAAACTTATTATATACCGCATGTTTTAATTTGGACCAAAGGTGGGCATTTTAAAACGTTAATATAATTTTCAAATCAACTACCAGTTGTTTTTGCTCTATAGCATGCAATTAAACATCTAATTATTAGAAACTAACAATGCTTGAATTCGAGGATACAAAAATTACAATAATTTCAAATATAAAGTTTTCCTTAAGCTTCATAACTTTTTAGAATGGCATTTTTCTCTCTAATTTACACGATTTAAATTCTGAGTTAATTAAATCTTTGATGTCTAGACTCAATGGATAAATAAAAAAAACGTAATATATATAGTTTTTTAAACACGGTTGAACAGAGTAATATGGACCTAACCTCACTTTTAATATTATAATATAATATGAAAAATTCCAAGATATATATTAATGATAACATATAATATGTCGTATGGAATTCATTTCCTCTCGTTTTCAAATCATTTACCAAGGCAAACTTTAAAATTTTAAAATCTTATTTGATAGGAAAATATAGTCGAATATGTATATAGAATTTCAGACATTTTGTCGCGAACGTTTTTTTAAATAATCATAATTTATATCAATTCTAATAGATATATATTTCATATAAATTAAAATCCGCCTCACATTTTTAATATCTATATCTAATTTCCCCCCAATGTCAAATAAGGCTCTTATATCTCCCCTCTATAGTCATCTATTTCTTTTTTCAACAAATGTTTTGTAAATCAATTAACAGTTCCAGGCAAAATTATCTGAAATTGCCGGTGTGGGTACTCACATATCCTGGAATACATTTCCAGCAAAGTCAGATTTTTTTAAAATTTAAAAATCGCTTATAATAAATGATATAAAGTTGAAAAACTCCGAATCCCCATGGTTTATATATCCTAATACGAAATATAAAATAATAATAAAGTCCAACGTATAAATTAATTTTTTCATTTAAAATTTTATAAAGAAAAGGTTGCCGTGACAGATTAGGCATTTTTATTTATTTCATTATATTCTATCTCCCTTCAATTTCTTTCAATCTTTGATTACTTTCTCATTCGCACTCATTCCTTATTATTTTATCAGTTTAAATTTTAAAATAAAAACCTAACCTTTTTAATTTGGTGTTCCTTGTCGGCCTTTAGAGAATCTATATCGGTGTTTTTAGCGTCAAGAATATTATTGACTCTGGCCAATTCCTGAATTAGACTATTTTCCTAGATGGTAAAAATATAAATATATAAGTAAGAGGCATGCAGAAGTATCACATTTATGGGCTTGACACTGCTTTGTAATTTTTGGGACCAGTCTGGGTAAGGAAAATTATTTTAAGGCTTGGTGCAATTTAATATTGAGATTGTCACTTAAAATGACTTCCTAAAATCTAAAGTCACCTTCACCATTGAGCTGTATGTTTCAAGCAAGAGAAAACATAAATTTATTTTAATAGTTTCCTCGAACTTTAAAAAATATAACTAAATTAAAATAAGAAAAAAAATGGAAGTGCAAAAGGATACGAGATAAGAAAAATATTCCATGTCAAATGATCAAGAAAATCAAGATTTTAGGCTAACCTCTTTCAATTTCAACATAAGTTGTAGACTGGTTATATATGTTCATATTAGATCATAAACAAAATTTTAGCGCATATATTAACGGAGATAATCGGGGTTAAATGTCCAAACATAGTCTTTTTTTTAAGCTTTTTATTGATGTTAAATAACTAGTTTTTAATTTAGAAATTAAATAAGATCGAATAGTGAATCTAATATTAATAGCTAAGTCAATAATTGATAATTATGGCGAAAACATCAAAATTATTATTTTTTAAAAATATGGGTTATCTTAGGGTAAATAGAAAGATGAAATTAATATTTCGAAATGAATATGATTATCCAATTTTTAAATTTTTTACGAAATATTATCCGTTTATATTTTTTTTAATAATTTCTTCAACAATTAGCATAACTGGATATTTATTTTAAAAAGTATTGTAATTTTTATACTTTAAAAAATAGATGGCGCTATATATATAATAGTTTTAATATGATAAAGATTATTTCTTTATTGTCTCATGTAATATATCATATATCGATTATGCAATTTCGTAAATCTCATTCCCCTGGGATATTTGTAGGATATAAATTTTCAATAATTTTTTAATATTTAAATGTAAAGTCAGAATAATTAAAAAAATTCGACTAGCACACGAATAAAAAAGTAGGGTTAAATGAGTATAATAAAATTATCAAAGGAAAAATCAAAATTAAAGACCCAGTCTAAAATTCTTTTATGAAATTGACATTTTCTTAAATTAATAAAAAAAAAACCAAGATCAACAAAATTGAAGTTATTTCGAAGATAGAAATATTTTTAAGCATTAGAAATAACAAAATATTTACCTTATAAAATTTTAGGTATCAAATGAATTTGAGCATTCTCTATAAAATCTTTTTTAAAATAATCTTCTATGATTAAAGTCTTTCAATTTTGAGCAAATGTTAAACACTGAAAAAATTAATAAAAATAAGCCAGTTGCTTTTATCTTTTCTTAAAATTATAAAAAATAAACCAATTAGCAAAATTAATTAGCGAAATCTTATGTGCTCAATTTAATAAAATAAATCGTAAAAACACTAATCAATAAATCGCAGTTGTTAAAATTCCTAATTGATTTCTATAATTTTTCTTCATAAATTATAAAAAAAAATACTAAATTCATTTTTTTAACATTTTTTTATCAAAATTTTTAAAAAACTATTTTTTTTAATATTTTTACTTGCATTTAAAAATAGTGTTGCAATTCACGGAATAAATCAAAACATAAAAATTTTAAAAGAATCTACGTCCTCTACTACCTTGGAAGCTTAATATAAATAGTCATTTATATTTTCAACAAAAAATATGTAATTCGTGCCGCTACCAGTAAGTAAAATTGGTCCAGACATTACCGGCGAATTTATATCTCCAATATCTATAATCAGGAGGCCTTTGATCTATTAATGAAACATTACACAATATTGGAGAATCACCAATTAAAAGAAAATGTTTAATGGAGAAAAAATATACTAAAAATAAAATTCAAAAGATTAAAAAAGCAATAAAGAGTAAGGTTCTAGAAATATCTGATTCCGAGAATAATAGTCTAATTAAAGATGAAGTTATATTAAAAGATAACTTTGATAAATTATCAAAAAATAAACAATATCAAATTCTTATAATTTTGCCTCAAAGATGGATTGTCAATATAATTCAAAAGGAATTCAGCGTAACATAGTACATGGCAAGAAAATCCAAAATGGTGGCAAAAGAAACTGGAATTCTCTCATTCCCAAAACATAAGGCAGGAAAGATACTAAACGAGAATAACATTTAAAATTGTCAAGGATATAGTTATGATGAAATAAGCTGACTCATGGCTAGAATAAAAGGTTATGTATCTGTTAAAGGCGAGAAAGAACCAGTCCAAAAAAAGACAAATATTAAATAATCTTAAAGAAACATTCAAGAGGTTTAAGGAATACCCAGATTTATATCAAATAGATTCTCTAAATTTGGCAAACTTAGACTAAATAACTGTATTTCAGTTGGAGCAAGCAAAATTACTGTATATTCTTATAACTATCTTTTGGTGCAAATTTTTTGTAAACCCTCTCAGTCAAAATGTTATTTAACAACTTGTGATCAATGTCTTGGCATAGAATCTCTAAGGACCCATTATACCATCAAAGAAATCGAATAGAATGTCACGTTTAAATAATGGATTATGGTGGATAGAGCAAATATTGAAAGAGTTATAAAGTCCGTTGAAATGGTGGTTAGGATGTATAATCAAATCCAATTTTTACACCCTCGTGGACCTTCAGTCTCATTTAAATTTCCCCTGATAGATGGTATTCTAGTTTTGCCCAAATCTCATATTATCTTGCTAGTCAATTCTTTTACTCCCACAGGTTGAATAAATATATATAATATTTCCTGAAGAAATATCACCAGCTAGTCAGGCTTTGTATTCTTTAGATAAAGTAGGATTTAATTAATTTATAAACTATCTCTTATGCAAAATCTGTGAAGATTTCAAAAATTTCATGATTTGTATTATATAAATATATAAAATACATTGTAATCGATTTAGCATGATATATAATAAAATATTTTTAAGCGATAAAAAAAATGAATTTTATAATATTAAAACGATTATATATAGGGCCATCTATTTTTAAAAGTATAAAAATCGCAATATTTTTTAAAATAAATATCCAGTCATAATAATCGTTGAGGAAATTATTTAAAAAAATAGTAAATGGATAATATTTTTTAAAAAATTAAAAATTAGATATCATATTTTGAAAGATTAATTTCAAATTTTCTACTGACCATAAGATAACCATATTTTAAAATAAATTCATTTTGATTTTATCGCCATTATTATCAATTATTGACTTAGATTAATAATAGATTTAAAATTCGATCTTATTTAGTTTTAAATTAAAAATTGGTTATTTAACTTCACTAAAAGCAAAAAAAGTCTATTTCTGGACCTTTAACCCCGATTATCTCTGTTAATATAGTTGCTAATGCGCTAATTTTGTTTATGATTTAAAGCGAACATATATAACCAGCCTAAAATTTTATATCGAAATCGAAAGGGGCTGGAGGTGGTTGATTTGACATGGAATCAGCTTACGATAAAAATAGGGATGGGACCGGTGGAACGAGAAACTCAACCATACGATGGTCATAAACGACTTTACACTTTGTGTAGAAACCGGTCAGGTAGCTACGGTTGAATATTGGTAGCATGACAGGTAAAGTTGACAAGATAGTGGATGCGCTAAACAGAAGGAGGGTAGATATATGGTGTGTCCAAGAAACAAGATAGATGGGAAAGGCCAAGTATGACTGAGGATACTATTTCGTGAAAAGATTGAATTATGGGTATTAGTAGTCAAATTGGTCGTTGGTAAAAGAATATTGAATATGATCTCAGCGTATACCCCTCAAGTCGGCAGAAACAACGAAGAGAAAGTTATATTTTGGGATAAACTGTTAAAAATGATATCAGGCGTGCCTAATGGGGAGGCAATTATGATCAGCGGCGATTTTAATGATCATGTTGATGAACAGGTTAAAGGATATGAAGAAGTTCATGGAGGTTTTAGCTTTGGGATGAGAAACATAGAAGGAAGGATGCCGAACAAAGGTGGTTATGGAAATGATAAATGCAGCGGACAAACTTGGAGTGGAATGTATGAGAGACCGATCTTATATGAAGGAAGTTTCGCGGACTGGAGAAGAAGCGTAGTTAACCGATTTTTAAGGGAAAAGGTGATCCGTTAGATTGTGGTTCATATCGGCCAATTAAACTCCTTGAGCATGGAATAGAAATTTTCGAGAGAATTTTGAGAAAGAAAATCAGAGATCAAGTAAAAGTGATGATATATAATTTGGTTTTAGGAAAAGGAATTTTGGATGCGATTTTCGTGGTAAGATAAATGCAAGAAAGGAATCAAGCGAAGAAAAAGACAATTTATTAAGCTTTTGCAGACTTGGAGAAGACGTTTGACAGGGTTCCGCGTGAAGTTAAGTGGGCTGATAAAATTAGGTGTAGAGGACTGGTTGATTTTGGTAGAGATGGCAATTATGAGGATACCCGAACAGTTGTTAGGATTCATGGTGGAAATAGCGAAAGCTTTGAAACAAAAGTGTGGCTATATCAAGGATCAGTATTGAGCCCATTAATATTTATCATAGTAATATAGGTGGTAACGAGAGAGGTTCATGAAGGACTGCCTTGAAAACTTTAATATGCTGACGATCTTGTACTGCTGGTAATAAATGAAGTAGAATTAATGGATAAGATAATCATATGGAAGACGGTATGGAAGCAAAAGGTTTAAAAGTAAACGAAGGAAAGATTAAGGTGATGATTGGAGTGAAAATAAGGAAAAAACAGGCATTGACCATGTGATGTGTGTGGGAAAGGTGTTGCTAGGAAATAAATCCAATGCACCAGCTGTGAGAAATTGGTGCATAAAAGATGTAGTGGTGAAAAGAGAGTTTAATAAAAGCAAGCGAGGCTTTTACCTGTACAACATGCGTGAAAGGGGTTCATGATAATGATAACGTAAAAAAGGGTGGCAAATATGGGTAATGGAGCTACTCTTGAAAAAGTGAAAAAGATCTGTCATTCGTGTGACACGTTAAACGCAGATGGAGGTTGATTCAGCTGTTGTTGCAAGGGTAAGATACGCATGGAAGAAGTTTAGAGAGATGTCTTCTATTCTAACAGATAAAAACGTATCTCTGAAGCTGAAAGGGAAAGTTTATAAGCTGTATGAGAAACTGTATAATCTACTGTGACGAAACGTTGGTAATTGGCGCATAAAACCAAAATAGAAAAAACGGAGATGAGAATGGCCAGATGGATATGTGGGGTGTTTATGGGATAGAGAAAAACAAGAAACGAATTGCTGGAAAGAACTGGTATAGAAGCAATTGGAGTTGTGATGAGAAAAAACAGACTGAGATGGTTTGGGCACATTGAACAAAAAAAAGATAATTGGGTTAAGAGATGCACTTCGGAATTAATGATCAAGACCTCGAGGAAGACCAACGAAGACGTGGATGAAAGGGATTATGGTTGACATGAAAACAAAGGGTCTCACAATTTGACGCCCATGATCGCAAAAAGTAAAAGGGATCAGAAGGAAAATTGGCTTACTCGGGTAAACCCGGGAAACCGCCAATAAACGATAAAGAAAGAATAAAAAATATATAAATCATCATCAAGGGTCATAACATAAGTTTTCTAAAATAAAAAAACCTTGTTGTCCAAAGCCTGTATATTGCGTCTATTGGCGATCTTGACAGAGGTGTGATGATTCCTTAAATTAAGATATTTCTGTTTCCAGCTGTTGGACTCGTTTTCTTTGGCTAAAATGCGTTTCATTTTCAAAAGAAGGAATCTTAATAATCTTCCTACAGGCGTATAACAATATACGATACTTTTAATTTATAGATACTAATAACCGATACCAAATTATAATAGTCTCGGTGCATCTCTGTCACCCTTCTTTATTCGCCTTTCCATCTGCATCTTCTTACTAATCAACTTTCTTTTTATTATATTTTATAATTTCCCCTCCTTTATATTTATTTATTAAAAACCTTTTAGAACGGTTTTATGATTCGCCTCGACTCGTGTCAACATTTCAGCGTGACTAGATTTAACACAATCTATTTCGTTTTTTTTAGCGTTCTCGTTGTCTTTCAACTGTTTATTTTCGTTTTAAAAAAAAAGTTTAGTAATATTAATATAAAAACTGAAATCGCGAAATATTTCCAAGAGATCAAATTATATTCGTGATAAGCAAGTCTCGCCCAATAAACTATAGAGATCTATTTCATTCATTTAAGATAAAAATAAAAGACCCAGTTCTTATTAGGGCCAGGTCAAATTTGCGCGGTAGATTTTATTGAATTGAAAACTAGTCAAAATTGAGCATATGTTTTTCCAGGCTCTTCAAATTAGATATGGATTATTTTTATTGTGTATAGTAAATGTTTTGTTTAAAAAAAAACTTGTGTTTCTAAAGAGTCTATAATGAGCTTGCATCCGTGAGATCTTTGAAGAACGTAGTGATTGAGTTTTCTGGAATTGTTTGACCTATCACCTGTTTCTAAATTTCAAAATAACTTTTACAAAATATAATTATATAAAATGCACAAATTTGTGTATTTTGGCTCTAAGCCTTCTTAGAAAAGTGAAATAAGACCAGACACGAGGAACCGAACATATTTTATTTTTTTCAAAAATTATTTACAAAAAAGAAATTCTACCCGAAATACTATATATTATCTTAACTTGGAAACATTTTGGGACCTGGAAGATCAAAAGAGCCAAAACACCTGAATCGTAACGTTAAGATTAGGCTAAAAATGGTAAAAAAGTAAATATTCATGAAATTTTTTTTATGTGAACGATAACTTTTCAAGATATTTCGTGATTTTAATAAAATGACCACTATGTAAGGCCGAGGTGGTCAACTTAGGATTTTACGTTGGGAATGCATATAGTGAACATTAATAATCAATATGGTTATAGTATAATTGGATAGATTAAATGGGAACGAATTGACCTTTTGACCACACTATAGTCAAATGAATATTTTATTACTATTTATTTCGGAATTTAGAGCATAGATAACGGTTCGACACGATTTAGCTTTCAGGCCATTCGTTTTAAGTTCGCTTAGATTTGGAAATGTTTCGATCTGAAATAAAACATATTAAGTTGAGCGGCTGAAAAGAAATAGTACATCAGGAAAGTTATGTATCCTCAAATTCTGCAAACAAAATTTGCCTAAATTATACAAGTGTGAGATTTTTACTAAAAATCTAGAATGAGACATTTTTATAATTGTATGTAAGTATGAATTCACTAACAAACAAATTTTTTATACTCTTACTAATTGAACGAGATCGGGATTTCGGAAATGAGGATCTTTTAGTTCTGGTTTAGGTGGGGTGGCAAAACTGAGTTTATTTGGGCCAAGGATTCGGGAATTCTCTCCTTTATTTTTAGGCACTTTAGGGCACATTTCTAGTTTAGGGCTAGGTGAATTGGGTTTAAGTGATGCACCGGTTTTCGATGGGCAGTCCTTTTTGAGAGTATTGCATAGGAGAGGCTTGGTCTTTATCTAAACCAAAAAAACATCTTTTAAAAATATTTACATTTAAATTTTTAGTATGGCATTTCTTTCTTTTTCTTCCTAGTCATTATTAATTGTTTCGTTCTTATAGTGATGCATTGCACTTATTTCCTTTTTTATTTTTATAATTCTTTCCTACTTTATTTTTAGAGGGATTATTTAAATCGTTGACCATACTGGCGGCCAAGGAAAACATTAGTGGCCCGTAACGGCTGTTGTGTTTGGGAACGAAGGGTACACAAGCAGAAATCGATTTATCCCTCTGCCTCATCACTTCCGTCATTTCTTTGATCGATATTTCCCTAGAAAATTTCAAGTTCAGCAGTTTCCTATAGGTTAAGAGGCACCTGACTTGTTGGTTGTTATTTTTTGATTGTATGCAGCTTAATTTCAAGGTTTTTGATTAAGTCTAACATCTTGAAAAGTATAATTTTTTAAATTTATAATACAATCTCAAGAACTGTTTTATTTTTTATTTCTTTCATTCGTTTGTTATCATTTAATCATGCATTTTTATTCCTTCTTTCATTATTTTAAGATTAAAAATTTTAAAATATGATTGATGTACCAATTAAAACGACCTTGTTTACTTCAAAAATAAAATTTCATTTGTGGGGTGGGGGATATGTTTATAAAATTAAACTCAATTATTAATGATTTAAAATAATCAATAATTATTATTTCGAAGGAATGGAATTATTTTCAATCATACATGGCGCTTAGAGAGAATAAAATGATGGATAAAATACGGTTAATAGTAAAAAAATTTAAATATCGAGCAATCTAAAAATAAATCTATCATAAAAATGTCTATAATCCAAATGCTCTACAGAAATAACATTTAAGAAAACTTAAGGAATATTAAAAAATCAATCAATTTGTCAGTGTCACCCATATACAGTTATGTGTTGTATTATAATTTTATTTAACATATCGCAAGAGATTAACATAAATTAAATGAAATTACACAATGGGAAGTAAAAAAATTTCCATAAAAATAAGAATTGACAACTTGAAATATTTTAATAAATAATAACTAATTTAAAATATCAAAAAAAATTGGCAAACATATAAGAAACCTGAAAAAACCAAGCATATAAATTTTTTTACTAATATTATATTTACATTTCCTGTTTTTCTTTTTTATTGTTATTCATTTGCGCAATAAATATTAGATATGTAAAAACTGTTTTATAAGCTTTAGTGAGCCATGGTAGACTTTATAATTACATGTCAATATCGGGAAAATTTTAGCGCGAATGCTTTACCGTAATGTAGGTTAGCATGAAAAGTAAATTCGGCGAATGCATTACAACGATTTAACATCGCGAAACTAATACCGCAAATGTTTTTGCGCGAATATACTACCGCGAATACATTTTCACGAAAATATTAGAGCGATATTCGCATTCACGGTAATGCATTCGCGAAAATTCATTTGGCGTTAATATGTTTGCTCTAGTGCATTCGCGGGAATACATTCGATGTAGTGCATTCGCGAAATTTTCACGGTAATGCATTCGCTTTAATGAATTCGCAATACTGTTTTAGCGGTAATTCGCTAAAATATCTTTTCAGGGTAACCCACATTCGCGGTAATCAACATTGTAATGCATTTGCGATAATACATTTCGCGGAAAATGTTTCGCGTTATTGACGTGTACTGCTTTATATGAAATATTTAAGCGCGCAGATTAATATTCTCGAATTTGGGGATAATCAGATTGAAAATTTTCGGGAATTCTTTTTATATAGGCAGTCGATCGAAGTGTAAACAAGAGATCTGCAATAGCCCAAAAAGGCTTCGAGCCTGTTTTTCAAAAAATATTGGATCGGGCGACTAATATTTTAAAAAAAATTCGGGCCGGGTCGTGCCTGGCTTAAATTTTTGAATATAATATCATTCAATTTTGTGAAATTCAAGAAATAAGGCGCCAATATTTTTATTTGTAAAATATTATCTTTAATTGCAAAAATATATTACATTTTTATATATTTAAATAAATTCGAGCCGGGTCAAGCCAGGCTTTTGGGATAAATATAATAAAATTCTTTCGAGAACGGTCGGACAAATATTTTTTGAAAAAGATTTCGGGCCGGGTTTAAAAAAGTAAGCCCGATGCAGATTACTAGTGTAAATAAGTCAAAAGATTCTAACAATATTTGTACAAATCCTATAAAAATGGAAAAAAGACACTGAAAGATTAAAAAAGTTACCCAATATTTGTTCTATATTTAAGAAATTGTTGGAGACGTAAATAGGTCACATCATATAACTTATTACACGTATTATAAAAATGTAAATATATCATGTTTGGAATCAATTTATTTAATCTAAATAATAAACTCAAAAATAAATATATTCGCAGTTTTTTAAAAAATAAATATAATATAGGTTAATTTGAAAGTTTAATGATTTTTATTTTATTTTTTTCAATCAAAAATTTACGAGAACAATTATATTTTTGTTGAAAACGTTGATATTAAATAGAACATTGTTCCTGATAAAAGAATTTATAATGGAAGTCATAAAAATGGTAGACAAATAAGAATGCTAACATAAATGTTTATGGAGTGTTTTATCATTAGTTAATGTTAATATATAAAAAATATTTCATTTTTTCCCCGATATTTTGCAGTAAGTTATTTTTTTTAAAAAAATGAGGAAATCTGGTAGGGTTATTGACGTAGCCAAGTTTTGTTAAGCATCAATACTTTGAGTAAATGGAATGTGTCAAGGAAAATTAATAATATATCCTTCCATTGGCGTAAGCAGCGGGGACCAAAGCCATAAAATGCAGATGCCGGATATACTTTAAATATTATTGTTTATATTCATTTATATTTTATTAAATTTATTCATATCTCGTTCTTTTTAAATTTTTATATTATTACCTTTTCATTTACTAATTTATTTTATCAATTAATTTCATTTTCAAGTTTTCCTTGGCGTAATATTTATCTATTATTTCTAAATTTCCCGGTATTATATTTTTTCACCATTTTCAAATTTCTAGTCATGGATATTATACTTTTTTTTAAAAACACTGAAGATAGTGAAAATCATACCAAAATAAAAAAAAAGTATAGTATAATAATTTAATTAAATTTTAATTTTAAAATATTTTTAGCAATTAAAAAACCTACCATAATAGCAAATAATGAAAGAATTGTTAAAAGAATAATTGATAGTCGGGATATAGAGCTATCTAAATGTTAGTTATTCTAAAAATACATTTGGGCAGTTTTATAATAACTTAGCTGGTATTATTTAATAAATGATAATTTTAGATATTTAATTTAATAAAAGAATGAGATTGCAACAATGTGCAGCAATAATTTTTTTTTAAATAATTTTAAATTACATCAATATTTAGACATAAACTTAAAACTAAAATCTTTATACAAAATTAGAGTACAATGATCATCCATATGATTTAGCTAATTTTTTAGATAAAGATAATATTAGTCTAGAAGAAAGACATATACTTCTTAAAAAGGTATATATTAAAGATACCTATGATAAATATTTTATTTAATAATAGATTTATATTCCACCCCTCAATTTTCAATATCCCCAAACTTTATGTGCTAATCGAAAGATAAAATTTCAAAATAGCTATTTTACTAGATGGTTAGGCTAGCATACTCCATCCGAGACAGTGGAGCTTATTGCAAGATATGTGTCCTGTTTGGATCACGATATGCTGGCAGAAATCTAGTTAAGCTTAACAGTCTTGTTAAGACTCCTTTCAACAAATACAAAGATGCGGGGGAAATTTTTGACAATCATCAGAAAACAAATTATCACAAAAGCTGTGAGATGATTTCGTCAAAAGAATCAATTCAAAAGGGGGATATGATTCCCATTTCATCATTTATTGATAAAAACAGGGTTAAAATCGCAAAAGAAAAAAGATGTAAGATAAAACTAACTATTGAGGCTATTTTATATTGTGGCTTGCAAGGCCTAGCACTACGTAGCCACAAGGATTCAGGAAGCTTAAATTTTAATAATGCCTTTTAAAATTTAAAGCATTAGGAGATCCTGTATTAATGGAGAGCCTCATTAGTGGCAATAAAAATGCTACTTATCTTAGCCCTAAGATACAAAATGAGATAATTGATATTTGCAACAATATCATTTTAGAAAAATTGATTGCTGAAATCAATTCCGCCCCATGCTTCTCAATTTTGGCAGATGAGACCAGACATTGCTGGCATTGAGCAGATGTCATTGTGTGCGCGATTTGTAGATACTCATAATAACATTATCACGGAAATGTTTCTACAATTTATTCCTGTTTCAAGCATGACTAGGTCTGCTTTAGCTTATGTAATATTTGAGAATCTTAAAAAATTAAAAGTAATAATTAATCAATATCGGATTCATGTTCTTTACCATTGATATCAAATTGCTTAGGTATAATTTTAATTAAATTTTTTATATTTATATCAGGTAAAATATCTAGCATCTATGAGATGTTTAGATACCCCAAGTGTCATGAACAGAATTATATCTGAAACTCCTTGCCCAACAAGGAGAAAAAAATTGCAAAAAGCTTGTCCAACAAGATGGAGTCTTCGAGCAGTAACAGCTTTTATGGAGTTAGAAGAGCCGATTATTAATGCTCTTACAGAAATATCACAATGGTCTGAAAGAGATATTTATTCAGAAGCAAGCAAGTTACTGGATTCAATACTTATAACAATTTTTTTTTTCGCATTAGAATGTATTAATAAATTATTTAATTATACAACTATTTTATGTAATACTTTTCAAAAACCTGATATTGATTTGATTGAGATGATGAGAATAGCAGAGACAATTTTATTAAAACTCAAGGAAATTAGAGCTAATGCTGATGAAAATTTAATATTTTATATGTTATTGTTGAATCAAAAGCAGATATACGAGTTCAATATTTGTCTCCCTCGACTTGCAGCAAGGCAAGCTTATCGTCCAAATATTAATATAGGGTCAATATAAGAATATTATAAAATAAATGTCTTTATACCTCTTTTGGATACATTTATAACCCAAGTAAATGAACGGTTTTTAATTCATCAAGCTGCACTTACCAATCTGCAGATATTACTTCCGCAAAAGCCCTCTGAACCTTTTTCAGATGGTGATAGAAAAAAATAAAATATTTGGCAGATCTTTATCATGAAGACGTTAATGTATCTCATGATGCTTTATTAGCTGAATGACAACTATGGTTGATATAGTCCCAAAAAATGCTATGGATGCTTTGCATCATTTCCAACATCTTTTAGATTATTTTCCCAATATATTGAAATTATTATATATATTAGCAACTCTTCCCATTAGTATTGCAACTAATGAGAGAACATTCTCTTCTTTAAGAAAATTAAAAACGTACCTAAGAAGTACAACTTCTGAAAGTAGATT